AATATTGTTTTATTGAAAAAAAATATTGTATTATTTTTTATGTTTATTATTTATATGTATAATTTCATTATGATGTTTATTATATATTCAATCATATGTGTTATGTTATTATAACATATAATAAGTGATAAAATATAAATGAAAATGATATGAATATATGATATAGAATATAAAAACAAAAGAATAATAAGAATAAATGACAAATAAAAGGAGAAATGATAATCAATGATATAATAATAAAATCAAAGTATAAAATATAAAATTAATATTAATATAAAACAAAAGAGAATAAATATAAAATGAAAATAGATATAAATGATAATAATATAAAAGATGAATAAACAAATAAACAAATAATAAAATACATTTAAATATAAAAGAATAACAATAAGAAAATCTAAATAATATAAACATAAAAAACATAAAATAAGAAGAATATAATAATATAGAGATAATAAGAATAACACAATGATATACATATTATAAACAGAGAAATAAATATAGAAATAAATATAAAAATACGATAGATAAATAACATATAAATAAAAGAATAAAAAGAATAAAAAATAATTAAATATGATTCATCAAATCATCTATTTCATTAATATTTCATACAAAATGAATACAATTGATAATAAATTATAAACATAAATATTTATATATTCTGTATTTATCATATTTTTTATTTTTATTTTAGGAGCAAAATATAATAAATGGAATATTCTATTGATGCAAATTTTTTTGCATCTTTTTTCTTTTTTTTAAATTATTTAGATGCATTTTTTCTTTGCTAATTTTCGTACCCATACTGGATATTATCTTAACTCTGATAATTTCTGTAAACAATGTTTAGAGCATTTTCTCATTGCTCTTTTTGTTCATCAATTCATTGTACAATATATGCTAATAATTATTTTTAAACTTATTATATCAGTGTCAAGAATATTCAACTATGATTTATTTTTTGATTTATTCTCCAACATATGAAAATTGTTCGAGTTATGTATTTGATTGTTATAGTTTCTCTGCAACACCAACACTTATTAACTATTCAACTCTTTCTGATTATAAACGTTGAGTAATTATTTGATAAGTCTTTAATATAACTCTAATAATTATTTAGAATAAACAAAATGCAACAATTGTAATACTGTTACTGGTTGTGTGTCATGTATCATAGTACAAAAACAATGATTATCTGTATTCAGACATATAAAACAAAAATCAAAAATTGATTGAAATATACTCTGTGAAGATTGTCTAATGATACGAACAAATTGAAAACATGTAACTCATATTTCAAATGTTTTACTGTTAATAATTATCTTCATTTTTTACATATGTTACTTATTCACGTTGTACTTATTCATTTAATTATTGTTCAATATCTATCAAATAATCTTATTTATGTATTTGATGTTCAACAAAAAGTCTTTTTTGAAGTACATATATGAATTGTGTCTATTTATTTTTTTTTCTTTTTCAAATCTTTTATCATATTTCCCATTATTTATATATAAGTTTTTTAATATCAATATAAATGGTAGTTATCAAAATTGTGACTTCCATACTAGTTGTTTATCATACGACTCAAATTATTATTTAAATCCTTCATCCAGTCTTTGTTCTACAGTCATATGTTTGAGCTTATTCTTCAAGAAAACTTTGTATAATACATTTTAATGATAATAATTTAAACAATTAATGAACTTTTACAAATTGTAATTTGATGTAGGGTTATTCTGTATGTACTAATATTTCAGAGACAGTATTACTTGTCATTCAAGACTTTATTTAAATAATAAAATTAGTTATAGCAATTGTTGCAGATATTGCTCACATTATTTTTTTTTCGAATGTACATTGTATCTCTTGTAATGAAAAGTATGTGTTATAAGATAATAACTCTTGTAGTTTTTATTGAAAAACAATTGTTTGATGTTAAAAGTGTAAAAAAATTAACTTGTAATATTTGTGACATTGATTATTTTACAAAAGATAATATATGTTTTCAATATACTTAAATAAATACAAAATGTACCTTTGTGTATGATAGCAAACAAGGTAAACCAATATGTACTAATTGTTCTTTTAAAACCATGGTAAAAAATGTACATGTTCAATATATGAAATCAACAAGTATATTGAACATTATAAATATGTTAAATTTGACGGTAATTATAATAGATTCTACAATATAAAGAGATATTAAATTACCTATAACTTTGGTTATCTTTTGATACACATTGTCATTTTAATTTCATTGAAGAACAAATAAAAAAATCAAAATTCTGAACAAATGCACAAGGATATGTTATATGTAAAGAATGACACTATTATAAAAATAAACAGTGTTATGAATATGTTGTTTCATGTTCAATCCACATTTCAAATGATAAATAAAACAAAACTTGATGTAAATG